CTTTTTAATTTTATTTGTTAATTTTTATATCATATTCATAATTCAAATAATTAATGAAAATTTTTACCTTGTTTTTGTCGCTAAAAAGAAAAGCCAAATACATTTAACCAATATGCTGATGTTACTATACTTATGGTTTTTTTTTGATTATCTCTGTATTGATAAGCAATTTTTGCTCAATGAATTCTTTAAACTTTAATGGAATTGTTGTTCTACTCTAGAATCGAATCTATGAATAACACTCTTCTGCTACATCTTCATCATCTATTAGCCAAATTATTTTTTAATATTTTTCTTAATGGCTTACTGGAAGATGATTGTACTGGAGCTAATAGTTTGCCTAGTATTAAATAGATCTTGTTTTAAAAAGAGCATATTCAATATAAACTAATTCTACAGTTTCTTTGCTAGCTTTTGCCTTTCCTCTTCTATTTTTATCCAGCCTCCTTAAATACTCAAAGATAGCATACTTCTTGTTATATTCAATCACTATTAGAACTTTATGCTACTTTTGAAGTTCAATTTTTAAATTTTCAATTTTTTCTTTTAAAACAAGTTGATTCTATTCCTCATCTTCTGTGTTATCCAAAATCTTTGTGAAATCATCTGGAGTTGATTTATTTAGGTAATTTTTTATCTTTACAGTCCCCTTTGCAGCTTTTGTAAATGAATCACTTGGCTCATATTTATCAAAATACGTTGATTTCTTTGTTTTTTTAGTGATATAAGGTCCGCGCTTATTAGTTTCTAGATGTGCATTATCTGACCAAACCAATTCAAGAGGTTTTTCTTTCACTTAATCATAAGCAGCTTTGTCATCCAAATAATCGATCTCATAATCCTATCTGCTATCATCATCATCCTTTCAATTATCATTATTCCTCGAATCATCAGTAAGTTGTAATTTTTTATAAACCTTCCATTATCATTTCATTCTTGCTTTTTGATCTGAATTTTTCGTTTGGATGGGTGAGTCATAGTTATTATTAACTAATCCAGTGAAAAATTCCATCATTTTCATATGAAAAATCATACGTTTACATACTGATCCTCAGTCTGAAATTTTTCTTTTTCTTATATATATCTTACAAAATATTCTTGAACTTCAAAACAAAATGTAGATTATTTTTTTAAAAATAAAACCGTTAGAAATAATCAGCTTATCATGTTTTATTAATCTATTGGTTTGATTTTTATAGTTTATTGCTTTTTTTCTGATTTATAAATAATTGAAGTCACGTGACAATTTTTGTGGTTTATAAGTGAGATGCACCATAGTTATTCAGTTATGAACTCTTAGTTCCTGCAAAGCTGTACAACTCTTAGTTGTCCAGTGATGTATTCTTAGTTCGATACATTTCCCTCAAATGAAGTCTGTTATATTGCATATGATTTTTAATCTGAGAACTATTCAATTTTTTTTTTTGTCTAGGGATGGACAAAAGACGCTAAGGAAAATAATAAGCAAGACATGAGCGTAATATTCTGGTGATAAGGTCATTTTTAGACGGTTATGTAACGAAATACACAAAAATACATGTACAGTTTTTTTAGACAGAGCAAATAATGAGGCTATAAGAAAAGCAGTCGTTCGAGATCAAGCTGTATCACACTTGCCAGACATCTGGAGAACTTTAACGATGAGCATATTAAACATCGACAAGAAAAAGGCGTTATTCGAATGATGGGATTCGCAAGTCCAAAATTTATCTAGCAAAAACATCCGTTAATCTTTTGGTCACATTGAATGCATAGATCGAGGTTTTGAAAATTTTTAAGTTGAAAGTATTTCTTTTTCCAAAGGATCGTTTAAATTTACTGTATTTGGTTAAAAATAAATCACGCCGTATTATTTATTTTTTCGCGCTTCCTACGAATTTAGATGTTAAAATAGTCACATTTTTTGTGACCTAACGTTGAAAAATTCCCTATATATTTAGAGATTTTACGCTTTATTTAACTTGAAAAAAAAAAAAATTGTACTTTGACACGGTAACTTTTTTTAAAGGAAATGATTACAATTTTTATAACGTTGATGCCAAATATTTTCATAATCAAGGATTTAACAAAGGCATTTTCGACTTGAGAAAATTTGTCAGTATGAGCTAGCTTAAGCGTTCTAGTCATAGTTCCTGTCGTTTTCGGTCATTAAATTTCCAATCCTTTCTTTACTAAAAATGCACGTGCAATTCAATTACTACGTCACAGTAAAGAAAAATGGAAAGTATACGACAAATGCATGAACTTGATAATCGCGCTTTGATACCTATACGCAGCTTCCCCTGTACATTTTCCCGCATTACATTTTCTTTTAAACGCTCATGCATTTACACTGTACATAAAAATTGACATTATTAATAAAAAAAAAAAAACTTTTATCCGAAAAAAAATTGCTACAAAATTCCATAACGTTGCAAGTACAATTTATCTAAATTAAGCATAATGGTCGGTAAAATCTCTACTCAACAACCAACGTGAAGTAAGAAGGTGTTCTCGTTAAGGGTAGGTACAAATTTGGATTTATTGCTCATATAATATAATTATTTATATCCGTTCACAACAATATACACACTTACAATCAATATCTTCGAATAAACGTTTTCTCCACAATGAGTCGTGAATCCAGCTACGCCACAAACAAACATGCATGAAACTTAATTTGTTTTAGGACACAATTTGATCGATTGTTCCATTCGAGGACTCTTTTTCAACGAAAAAAAAATGTGAGCAGGGAAATTTATCGGCTGACCATTGGGCGTTATCAAAATGAGAGGTACCATCAAAAAAAAAAAATAAAGCGCGAGGATAATTAATTGACGTTAATGTTTCGAAATCTTTTTTTTTTTTTTTTTTTTTTTGAACAATATGAAGCTTTTGAATGCGTTGGATGAATATTTCTTGAATTAGAAAAAAAAAAAAAAAATAATAATAAGAAAATTTTTTTCTTTGTTATCGTGGCAGTGATGACTTAATAATACTAATAACAAGAATACACCTGAATTTTAATAAATCATCTTTTTTTCGAGAACTTCATATTCGTTTTATTTTACTGTCAAAGAAATTTCATAAGATATTACTTCATTATCTTGATGAAAAAAAATATTATCTTTATCAATATGTTTCGCATCAAAGAGTCAATGGTTAGAATTTATCTTATTGTTTTTATTTCCCGAAATAGAACGTTCACAATAAAAAAAAAAAAACTTAACAAAGAAAAAAATATATACACTGTACATTATTCA